CCTTGTCCAAACAGATAATCAGTCACTGAAGTGTTTCCCAGTAACTAGAAGAAAGAAACAAAAAAGAATATAGAAGCAGAACAAACTATAACATGGCGTTGTTTTGATTGAACTACTAGCAAAATCTCTAGCTAGTATTTTTGGAAATAATGTTGAGTAAGCTTTCTATGCTTTTTAATTTTTAAATAAAATTAATAAATTTTGAATACACAAAAACATCCAACCACACTGAGCGAGCTTAAGCCCGGAGGAAAAGCCTCAATAGGTTGGCAGGTTACTTCTACAGATGTGGGGCTAAGTCTAATAACCTGCTCTGGGGAAAAAAAAAAGAGTGAGAATGTGAATTATTTATGTGAACACAGTGATAATCTCAAACCTTGTTTAAATATACATGGAGTCAAATTTTGATCATCTCTAGTCAGATTATCCAAACCATGCAATAAGAATGTAGTTCTAGGAAGTAAACCATCTCTTTTCATGCATACAAACATTATTTTATACTTTGACTTCACTTTTCCAAGATACATATACTAGAAAAAAATATTTTCTTACAGTTTGTATGGATATTTTAAATTACTGATTTGTTTTTAATCACTCCTCCCTATTGTTACTACATAACCTCAAACTGAAATACTTAACATTCAGAATCCTTTTGGATTCAGTTTAAAGAATACGTGGTAAAAAAGGTATTCACAACATTTTTAGACAGTAGAACATTTCTGGTCAAAAAATGAAGTATCTCAGACTTGCTAAAGTTTTGAAAAAAATCACAAATTCTCATTTCTAACTGAACACTATCTGAACTCCTGCCTTTTCTGCTTTCACCTTAAGGAACCTGAAAACAGTAGATGTATTGGAACAGCTGGATGACAGGTCTGTTTCCATTTCTTGGGATTCTTCAACAGCATAGTGAGAACTTTACTCCACGAAATCTCTATTGGCAGTTTAAATGTATGTTGTAATTAAAGATGATTATGACTTAATTTTGTGGCTCAGGAGTTAAGTAACTCATAACGCAGGAAAACAAGGTTTGCATAAAATTATTATATCATGAATGCAAAGCTGATGGTAGAAATAATTTTGAAAGCTCTTTGAACTACAAGAAAATGGTCTGTATTTGCAAAGATTAATGTTGGATCCTAAGTATTGCATACTCTTCTAATGTTAACGATTTTTATTCACTCATTGTAAATTCTGATCATTAACTAGATACATGTGCTTATAATACCTGCCTATAATATGTACATGTGCCTATAATACCTTATATAATAATATAACATGTGCCTATAATACCTTATAATACTAGTCGGAAAACTAGTTTTAAAAAGACTATCTGGTATTCTCAGTGATTAGAACTAAAGTATTCTTTATTTACCTTTTAGATGTTCTTTTTATTTCTACAGTCTTAACAGAACTAAATATTTCAGCATTCCTCAAAAAATACATGAAGAACAAGAGGCACATCAGACCTGGATATAAATATATAGGAAAGCATGCTTGTGGCCAAAAAAGAAGCTCAACAGAAAACATTTACTTATATTTTCCAGTCTGTGGTAACAACTTAAGCAACAAATTAATTATTCTTTTTTTTTTTTTTCCCAGAGAAAATAGGCTTTTTTTTTTTTTTTTTTTTGCTATTACAAAACAATGATTTTTCATATTTATCATGTAGAATAAATTGGTGTTTCTTTTCAGCTCTAATGAAAAAAATGAAAAGAATAGGAAGAAAAGTTGCTGTGTCACTGCTGCAACACAAGAACTGCCATAACTGATCAGCCCACTCAGTGGTCCTCTTAGCAGTTTGTCTGAGAAGTATCTGGTATTGCTGAAAGCCAAAGCTCTGCAGAACTTCACTATGACAAACAGCTCATTGACAGTTTGCTTCTTTTATGCAGCACTCAGCAGCTCTTGTTAAAACCATTATACTTCGAGTCATCTCATGCTTCCCACAGAGAATTGACTCATTTGCTGCAACTCCAACTCACTATCTTTTTGGTGAGTTATACAATGTATACGTCAGTACACTCAATACTTACGTAACTTGGAAAAAAAATCAACTACATTTGTGTTTGTCAGTCATTTAGTTGCTTCTGGAATTTTAGTCATTATCTCAGCCTAAGCTTTGATATGAAAAAAATATGTATCTGTGAATGTCTAAGTTTTGATAGCTTCTTGTAGGAGCTAGTTCACCAGATCAACTAAACAAAAACAAAAATTTCCTTCTACAACACTGCATTCGTTCCATCATGGCTTAACTCTCCCAGATCTTGTTTAACAAAAGGGAGGAGGAAGGAGGATGCATCCAGTGCACTTCTCCACACCATGTATTATTTTACTTACTTTCTTCGTCATTACTCACTGTTTAATATTGCTAAGTATATCCTCCTATTCCATTTTTTCTAGCACTTTTCTCTTTTGTGGCACTGTTCACTGCTACTCAAGATGAAAGCCAACACATCTGCCTGGACTACTACTGCAAGCTTATGCATTATATCATTTGAATATATGTATGTATTACATGTGCTTTACTAGAAAATTCAAACTAATGATTAAATTAAAATTTTTCAATTTAATGTGAAGTGCCAGCAGAACACAGTAAGGAAAATCTCAGTGAAAAATTACTAAAATTAAGTGCTACTGCAAGTGTTACTAGTAATACAAAAACTACTGTTAGAACAGTACGTCAGCCACAGACATTTGACAAAATCTAAGACTAATCAAATATTATTTCTCATAAAGTTGAATAATAAATACTGGTTGCATTAGTACTGGTTAGCATTGGTTAGTAACCAATTAACATTGGTTAGTATGCTTAACAGTTATTTTGAGCTAGTAAACCAACTAGATTTCTATTAAACTGAAACAGAAAAAAAAAAAATAAGATAAAGATTATTAAGTCTTTAATGACAGTATATAGGCCAGCTCTTCTCCATTTTTTTCTAATCTGTTATGTGTGAAACAGAGTATAGCAACATATTCCCCCTGTAATACCTTTGCCTCTGGTAATGCAGATAACAGTTAAATGAAATCCTCACGCTTTTCAGTAATGTAGTTATTTTTCTTATATTTGTTCCATATTTAGAGGAGATCACATATCTGGAAGTAAATCACCCCTCCCTTTATGGGATAATGGTTTGGCTAGAAGTTTTTCAGCTACCAAGTCGTAACAGATACTTCAGATTAATTATTACTACTTGGTGTAATGATTAATTTCATTTTTAATGTATAGTTAGAAACATAACACTCCGTAATTCAATTTAAAGCAGGTGGCTTCTACAAGACGGTTGGCTTCAATAAGACTGCCAAGAGAGTAACCTGCACTAAATAATTTATTGAATGCTACCTCCCTGTTCACGTATATAAAAACAGAAGTTGCACAGAATAGGTTAATAGAAGTGGCTCTGAGTGTTTTAACCTTCAACATTACAACATACATCATGTAGCAAAGATAAATCATCTGATAAAAGAAAAAAAGTAACCAAGACACTCTGCATACGTTAAGTCCTGCAAATGAGATGAAATATTATACTCAATTTTCTAGAAGTACATGGGGAAGTCAAGCCACCTTTGAGGCATCTGAACAGAAGTCCTTTTAAAATCAGAGATATTGGTAGCATTTGACTAAATGAGTAGCTGCAGAAAGAATACTTAGGAGAGCTACAAACGTACTGGAATAAAATATAATTCTTACATTCTAACAGTTATTCATTTCTATCACTTCTTTGCTTACAAACTATCCTTTGGTGTAAGACAAACATAATCCCTATTTTGCAGAAGGGAAAAATAAACTACACAAAGTTTCTGATCACAGTCTTGAGACATGAGAATCCTTTGACAAGCTTTGCACATAGCAGTAACTCTAAACATTAAAAAAAACAACAACCAACATCCTTCTTATTTTTTTCCCCTTTACATAAATCTTCTCTGGGTGCTGTTCTGACTGCATTCTGACTTTTAACTAAAGTAACAAAAATCGGAATATTTCTGCATGCAATAAAGTACATAGTATGTAAACAAAATGCTATATGCAACTGCAACTCAAAAGCTGTTTACTATGAGAGTGATGTTAGAGCTGGTCATGACAAAAGCCTTAACTACTGGTAAATATTCCTATTTAATTATTAAGAACGTTCTTTAGGGATAAAAATAATTAACCAAAGAGACAACCTCTGGAAGTACTAAGTAGTATCTTACATATTATTACAGAAAACAATTACACTTGGAATTGAGAAAAAGCGGTGGAGTCATAAAAAAAGCATTACACTGTTCTGTTTAAGGTTTCTTGATATTTATTTCCTTTGTTCGTTCAAACATTAGTGTTGTTGCAGTGTATCCTCCTGAGTAACGTACAGGATGGGAGCAGTCATTCACATCAGAGGACCATCAGCAGCTTTTAAACAGAAACGTCCACTGACAATTAAGTAGGTTTGTATGAAGGGTATTGCATGGCCTGGTAATGAGGCTTTATGATGACATTACCCATCTTAATTAGGAAAGTACTAAATAGATTAAAAAAAACTCTCGAGAGAAAACATCACAGCATTTTTTCTTTTCCTTCTCTAAGCAATCTGATAGATATGGAAATCTCTTAGCAAAAAGTTTGAAGAATAACACAATGCAGTGTATATTACAGGAAGGACAAGCAAATGACAGAAAATCTGTCGGGTTTTGACAAATCCATGTTGTTCCTTCAACAGTTACTTCTGCCGGGTAGCTATTAAATACTTCTGTCTGCCTTGGAGACAGAGGTAGTTTAGGTGCTCATTATAATGATGCAAGAGTAAGGCAGATCATTTAATTGCCATATGACAAAACAGATCCACACAAGAAATGAATGTTAGATATCTGCTGTGAAAAAAAAAAAAGTCTGCTGTCCTACAATGTAGTCTACATGTCACAATTTTTGTAAAAAGGAAGGAAAATTAATACAGTCTATCTAGCATACAAAGGACATACTCCATCACTACTGCAGAAAAAATCCTTTCTTCTCAAATTAATACCTTATGGGGTGTTGGGGAACTTTCCTCTATTTCTTCAGGTCCTTTGGGCAGAAGAGGAGCACAGTCTGATACTAGTCCTGAAGGCTGTTCTGCGTACTCTTCTGAAAACAGAAATCATAATTCACTATTGTGAGCACTATGAAACAATAAGAGAAGTATCAACATTATATGAACAACTGTGACATTACTGTCTAGCCAATAATTGTATGTGAACTAAAACTGGTCAAAAAATTTTGAAGCTAAACTTTGTAAGATAACTGGTCAAAGTTTGCCCATTCATTTTGTTTGTATTAGTATGTTTCGATTTAGAGTCAAGGTTTCTGGCTTATTTTTCAAGAAAGAGAGGAAGGAGAAAATACACAGGATGTGTGAGGGGAGGAGGACAAAAGAGAAGGATGGCGGTTCAGCTAATTTTAAGTAGCATCATCCAGTTAGCACAGTAGTATGTTCAAGTTTTTAAAGGAAGAGGCATAGACAATAGAGTTCACTTGGAAGACAGAGGAAGGAACTAGAAAATGGAGGAGAAGATCTTGAGAAACGTTGGGTTAAAAGATTTCTAAATACCAGTATAACTGATAGCTTGATAGTTTAGGAAAGCAAATGTATTTCCTGTAGCATGTAATCACATGCAATATTCATAAATTGAATACTATTAACTGACAGGACACTGAACACCTTTACATCAGTTGACTCATTAAGATGACTCTTATACTATTTGTTCAGTTACATTCAGTTTTAGTTGCATTAGTTTAATCCTAACCACTTTAATTACAAGAGCCTGGTAGCAAGTTCAGTGCTCAGATGCGAGATTTAACCATGATTGTTCTTTTAAAAGTTCATAATGGAATTCATCTATTTGGAAATAGCATTCTCCATAAGAGCTGGGGGGTGGAGGAAACAAGAGTTTTTACAAGATGCAATAGGTTAGATCTAACAGATATTGCCTAAAAAGCCTAAGATGCCAGTGAAAAGCTAAAATATGTACTAAAACGTTGCCAAGGTAGGGCACGAATCAGGTGGTTATATGTAAGAAGGGACGAGGAATCAATCCAGTTTACTGATAATCAAGCCATACAATATAAGCAGGAATGTTTAATCAGGCATCAATATATTCTAAAGTCAGGTATGTCAACTTGCTGCACGGTTAGCTAACTATATGATTTCTGCATCATAGTAAATCATCGTTATGCCACCTGTGTGCTACATAAATTCTTATTTTCAAAATAATAAGCAGTACAGCATGGTAAAATCTTGTACCATCAGTTAAACCCACATCAGTATACCAGGAAGACAGCAGTAAACTTACTTTCACCAGCCACATAATTAGCTGGAAAATAGCCTTGCTGTCCATTCGCTAGGCTGCCAAACCACCAGTTATCATTATCTTTGTATAACACTTGGATAATGTCACTGCGATGGATGGTTAGCTCATCTGATCGATGCGCTGTGTAGTCATAAAGAGCCACTACCTAAAAGAGAGATAAGAGCACCACAGCTTTATCACAACCATGCCACAGAGAAAAAAGCACAACATTCACTTCCTCTTGCAGAAAAGCAGCTGAAACCAAAGCTGCACTTTGGTAAAAGCTGAGGCTGTCTCGAGTTTTGCTAATGGGATCAGGGGTGGTGGGAAAGCAGCAGGAGAGGCAAGATAAAGGACTGTGGGATTTCAGAAATGGTTAAGAACATTCAATTCACTAAGATTAGCTTCAAAACAGCAGCTGTTAGTTTTATAAGCAATTTACTTGTGAAGCAAAAGAAAAAAAAACACTTCATACATTCGCTTTCTCAGAATTGTTACACCACCTTCAGATCCCACTCTGAGTGCGTATGAAGCATATGTGTTCAAATAAATACTTCAGCACTGCTACAGTTTTACCAGAAGGAAAAGTTCAGTGGAAAAATGTTATTGCAAAGTTTTGCTTTGATCACCTCACATTTTTTCTTGTTTCTTTGGAAATACGCATTTGCATAAAGTATTTTATAAATATCTGCAAAAACATTGGTGTAAATTCCACCTCACATAACAAAGCCATTTGTCAGTGAAAAACAGGACATCGATACTTTTCAGGATGAAAGCGCTAACAGTGATCAGCACCATGCACACTACATAGAATACATTGCCAGAAGCTTGCTTTCTACTCTGAATGTGAAAATATAAAATATAATTTCTTTTTTATTTCCCATGCTCTATGAACAAAAATCTGTTCTGACAAATTCAGAGCCAGAAATGACTGAAAAGAGGTGAACTGAAAGAAGAGGGGAATTGCTCACTTCTTTCATTGTAAGTGAAGATCATAAATACGACTTCTTTATACAAAGGGCACTATTCCCCTACATAGAATCCTCACATTCATGAAATCATAAATAAAAAGATAAGGAACAGGGATTGTTAGGGAGTGACAGAAGGGTATAGGGCACTAAAGACAGTAAAGTTACTATGCAAATAGAGATTTGCACAATTTTTTTTTTTATTACCTATGCATGCATTTAAATCTGAAGAGTGCTGAACTGCAGTGTTTTTTGTATTTGTTATTTCTATTTTTAGTATGATCACCTATGAGTTATGTGTGTAAAAATAATATAGCCAATGTCATTTATATTTTCATACTTGCACTTCACTGATGAATCACTTATGAATGGGAAAATATGAAAACGCTTTTACCACTGAAAATTGTATGTGGTAATTTGTGAGCTGGTTGGTGACAAAGAAGTAATATCACCACATGTAGGTACACAAGAGATTTATCTAAATATGCATTCAGTAAACATGAACTTATATTTAAGTAGCTAAACAAGGACCATCTTCTGTCATAATTGTCCTCCTAGCATTAAGAAAGACACTGCAGCAATTACAAGTAATGTTGACTAAAGAAATATGAATGATAGAATAGAACCATATTAAAATACACTACAGAGCTCCATACAGAAACCATGCAGAACTGGAAGCTTACATGATCATGCCCAGTAAGGGGTGCTCTAACAATGCCCACTTCAGCTCAATGGCTAAGGTTTCCTTAGTAATAGTACTATGAAAATCACGAGGTCACTTAAGGTAAAAGGAATTTTACACTAGCATTTGGCAGAATGAAAGGCAGAGTAATGATTATTTATTTTTGCAGAGCCTTTTGTAAGATAGCATTGCAATGTTTTGTCGTTTGGAAAAAAATTACAAAAATTAATTAACATGGAAACACTGCCAACAAACAGTTCAAACTAACCAAGCAAGTCCCACTTATTTTTGTCTCTCAGAAACAAAAAATTAAAATACCAATGTGTCCTGTAATACAACTGGTTTAGCAAGTCTGACAGTTTAAATGAAATGTGGAAATTGCCATAATATTCCCTAGAGATAAATAACCAGAAAATAAGCATGAGAGAAATACAGGAAATGTATCTCAGGACCAAAGAAGAATGTAAAAGACTCATAATTATGCCCAAAGCAATGGAATTTCTCCTGATGTGACATTCAGATATGTGTTAAATGTTGTCTGAGTACAAATTCAAGCAAAAAAAAGTAAAAAAAATCTATACCCATCAACATTTTAAAGAATCATTTTTGAGAAATGATGTAAAACCACCAGTAAGATGGTTATGAACACATTAACAAGGAAAATCTAGAGTGGCAAAAAAAATCCTTAATTCATGCTAAAAGACACAACGCTTTCAAAGACACGGATGCAGTGTGACAGGTACTGCAAAAAATTACATAATACTTACTGTTTCTTGGTTGAGCAGACAACTGCTTCCTCCTCTTTCCCCCAGTGCAGTTAGACGGTCATCACTCTAGAAGATTAAATATTGTAACACAGTGTTAAAGGTTATTGATATACTACAATTTTACACTTCTTCCATATGTCTTGCCTATTCTTAAAAAAAAAAATCTGCAATAAAAATGTTTTTTTAAAAAAAAGAAAAAGCAGAAGTGATGTTGAGCAATCCAGAGTAATGCTGGCTATGCAGATACTTATAGAACTTAAAAAGGTTTTCAAATGTGTACGCTGCACTAAAGACAACATGTGGGAGGACGGAGGATTGATGATTATACAGTCTAAGCTTGTCTGCACTGCAAATATTACAGTAGATGTTTAAGAAATCGTTGCAGTGAACTTTACCTCTGAACTGATATTCAGAAGATTTCACTTTCATGTAAGGAAGAATTTCAGGCTGGTTTTAATAACCAATACTTAAACATTCAGTTTTAATAGCTCCATCTTTGCCACTTAACTCTTCAGACTTCCAGTAAAGCCACAGGAATACCACTGCATATATAGGGCAAGCATTAGGATGTGCCAATACTTACAAAACTTGATTTCTATTGAAAAAAACAACAGCCCTTAATTTATAACAAAATATAAAATAGAAATACAGTGAAAAATTAGCAGAAAAAGAAAAAAAAAGAACAATGGAAGAAATGGAATTTTTTTGCCTGATTATTTCCAATGGCCTGTTTTCACAAAAGGGGAAACCAGTTTCCCCTAGATTTTGCATGCATCAAAGGATACTAAGTACTGTGTGGAACAGAAATATTACATAGTAATAAAAATATTTTAGTAGAGAAGAATCAAAGAATAACATGAAGTAAACATTTCCACCCATAACAGCTTGTGCCACATTGCAAACAACATTGAAATTTGAGAATTTCTACCCAACTTCTTTTATTTTCTATTTCTTAATTTGGTTGATCCAAGCAACATCATTATTACAACCTTCAGCAGAGTAAATGACATTCTTGTGACAGACATTCTTGCCCTTACACATTGTTTTCTTAACTTTGCTAAGCTTATCACATAGGGGAAATGCATTCTACATGCTCTTGAAAACCAAGGTTCGATCTCATCTCCAGGCATCATCACTGTAGTTACATACACAAGCAATGTATACTGATGAATGCAATACAGAAACGAACAGTTGCACTCAGTTCTTAAAGTTTACCAAAACAACTCAGCCTACCACCCACAGTTCTGATTAATTATGTGTATACACAAAAGAGAATTAAAAAAAAAAAAAAAAAAAAAAAAAAAGTAACTGCCTGATTTGATAAGCAAATTTTGAGCAAAGAACAATGGAAGCACAGTTCAGAGTACGAGGCATGATCAATGGTCTACTGGTAGCTAGCAGAGCCTTACAGGATCCAGCTATTTCTCACTTTTCACTGTCAAGGTTAAGAGAATTGTGTAGGCAATGTGCTTAGCCTGTGGGATGGGAGTGCCTCCTGTTGCTCAAAAATGATTCATCAGAATTATTAGCAGTATTATTTAGGTATCTAGTTCAGGTACTCACATTGCCCCATTGTTGTGTCTCAATCTGTCTCTCTCTTTTTAATAAAGTATTTATGCACTCTCAAACACTCAGCGTAAGAAGACCTTGAAGAGAGCGAGTAGTTTGGAAATAACAATCTGAAATCCATGAGTCATCCTGAGACTACGCTGAACGCTCTCAGACGCCGCGTTAAACTTCTAAGGCAACAACAATCCAGAGAGTTTCTTCTTGAGAGGCCCAGGGAGCAGGGCCCAGCTGCCCCTAACCGCACTGGCAGCCCTGATGGCAGCTGGCTGCTGCACCAGCCGGGAAATTGTGTTGTAGCTGCTTACCACAGGCCTGCCAACCCTGCACAGTACCAAAGGTGGCTCTGCAGTGCCATGTTGTTCATCAAATACTGCTAACTACCAGGTACTCTGCAAGAAAAACCTGGTGCAAACAACTGCCTGTTTGGTTTAAGAATGTTATTTTTTTAGTGCCGCGTCACAAGATTAAGCTACATTTTTAGGATTGCAGTAAAGCAATACATATATACTGAAGAGTGTGAATACAGTGTTCTTAGTATTAGTGTCTTCTTTTTTAATGCAAGATGGAAGCTAATTAATCCTTTTCTTCCATCCAAACAGATGTGAGGTCTAAAGATAAGTTCTTAGGAGCTGCTCTTAAAGTGAGTAGACCATCTGTGAGGAAAAAAAGCCTACCATGTTACATTGATTTGGCTCAAACAAAACTGCAAGGAGCTTTCAGCATAAGAAACATCCTCAGACAAAGACAAATGGATCTAGCTTCAGACTATGGAACATGATATTGGATATCCACAATAGGCCCACATGGATAACTTAGATATTTCTAAGAAAAACAGGAAACATTTTAAGAACTAATAATAAGAGAGCATTTCAGGTAAGAGTAAGCTGATAAGAGAATTGCCATATCAAGTGTCACTGGTAACAGCACTAATTAAAATGTTTATGACTTCTCTATAACTGAGTAGTTTCAGTGATTGTGGTAGTGGAGGTTTTGCTTTTATTCAGAGATGTAAGGTGGCCAGCAAGATTTGGGCATCAGATAGCAGGTAGTGTTCATAGCCTTACGAGAAGCAGCTTTGAGTAAGAACAAGTGATGTGTTATCACTGCCTTTTCTGTTAAAAAAAAAATAAAAAATCAGGATTTTATTTCTATATTTCAAATACAAAAAATATAAAAATTTAAAGAAAAAAATCATGGAAAATTTTAAAGTTTACTGGTGGTTTCATATGCTTCTCCCTTATATGCAAACAAAGTCAGAATAAATATAAAAATCAAGGTATATGACATTTAGTCATTAACTCCTACTAACTCAGTTTGAAAAATAAACTTGTCTAAGATCAGTCTTAGGCATACACTACATAAACATGGTGAATACGATGACTGTAAATCCAGGGCCCAAGTCAACTTCTGCCCTGTCCCTGTTGGAAGGACTGACCCAGTGACATGAAGGAGGACATCATCTCTTTCTTGGATGCTGCCAGTGCTCCTGCTTCTCTCCACCTCCCTGCACCTGTTCTCTGCAAGGACGTAAAAGAAGCTGGAGTGCTCCTTGTGCAGACACTCCAGCAAGTTCACTGGGAATCAATGTCACATCTTCCCTTGTCTGGTCAACAGATCTGTACCTCAGAGATTAACAGCTAAAGCTCTGAGACTGGCTTAAAAATCTGGTAACATTTGATGCATTTTTTAAATTTACAGAGTCAGTCAGAACATTTACAGTTACTGCATTGTTTTCATTTTTCCTTATAAAGTCGAGGGTTAGAAATTAACTTAATCCTTTCCTTCCTTAAGAATGTCATGCAAACTCTTTACTCCTGTAACTGAAGTTTTAAATGAAATACTAAATAAGCTGAGACTTAACATAAAATAATTGAATACTGTTAGCACTGTCACATTTTTGTTCATGTTCTCTGGTCCAATTAATTGTCAACACACATTCAGCTAAGGACACTTAACCGCACAAATTCAGTCTACAGGAAACAGAATGACAAGGACGGAATTAATAGCTAAATTAAAATGATTCTAAAAGCATTAACTGCTAAGAATAATGTACTCTTCTCTTGTCTTTTAATGAATCTGTCTGCTGTCAGAAAACTACTGTAAAGTTACTTCCTTAGGCTTCAGATGACTACATTCCTTATTTGATTACACCTCTTCAATATTTAATGAGCATGGGAATCTATAATCTGCCTAGAGGAAAAAAAAAAAAAAAAAAAAGAAAAAAAACAACCTGTGCCAGGCTGCACTTTATTGAAACCTGCAATGTACAAACAGAAAACAGAAATGCAAACACAGCTGCTGCAGTAAAACCCACAGGGCTAGGGAAGAAAAAAGAAAAAAGAAAAAGAGAGAGAGAGAGAAAATAATAATAAAAAAAGAAGGATCGATTCAGATGTACGGAGAATACTCGAGCTCCTGAAGTTATTCAAAAGCTGTTCTGTCATTTGTTAATATTTTACTTGCTTGATTAAAACAACTTTGTTTAATTGTACTTACAACACATACATATTTCTGCATATTATTATTTATACACCAGAAAATGTAACAAAAACATTAAAACTCTTAATCTAACCCTCAGGAAAAAAAAAAAGCTGCTATTTATTATTTAGTTGATCTTCTGTTTGTTTGTAAAGCTTTCTGTGACACAGAAAACTAACATACTAACTGAAACATGAATGCATACTTATTTGTAAAAATTATATGAGGGTTAAAAAGTTGGAAATGTGTAAACAACAACCATTTAGTCAAAAAAGAAATAGTGATGTAAAACTGCAGTTTCAAAATTACTTGGTGAATCCCGTGTGTCTTACAAGCCTTCCATAACTTTATTAACACAGAATATTAAATGATGGCATTCCATCATGAGGGGATGGAGCATTAATATCTGAGCACAACAGGCCCAAGTTATCTAGAGCCTTGTGTAATATCAGCCCAGAACAAACTACTCTTCCATCACTAGCCCCTCTATGCTCAATCCAGGTTAACGAGTTGGAAGTAATGGCATTATAGATTCTTTTTTTTTTATTACAGTGATTAGGAAATGAGAAATATAAGAAAGGAAAAAATTAATGTAAGTTTTCAATGAGACTTAGAGAGGAGCCATTAAATTAATGGAGAACAGTTGTGATGTCATTTGTTACAATAGGTGAAATATTAGCAAACATATTAGTAAAAATTAGCAAAAATATTAGTAAAAACACAGGATTTAATTTCAAGTTCTTGCTCCATTTTTCTCTTTCTAATTACCAATTTATTTCTAAACAACAATAAATAAGTGATTAAAAAAAGAAAGTTTTATTTACACATATCTGATCTTTCAATCAGCTACCTGCAAAATAACCTTATTTGCCCACACAGACAATTTGCTTGAATATACTTTTTTTTTGTGAATAAGGGCAGGATAAAAAAAAAAAAACACCTCTCTACATGAGAACTTGTGAATAATGGCATTTTATAGTTAGACATCAATTTTAAAAAAATGCAAAGATAGAATTCCTTACCATCTGTATTCTGCCCAATAGTGTTCCGCTAAGAGGGTTTCCTACTGGGCTGAAACACCCTGCGAAAAGAAAAGGCTGTGAATTTTTTGCTTGTTATCCTCTTCCACCGAATAAATCATTTTATTTTAATGTCATTATGTTAGCAGGATACATTTGACAAAATTCTAATGAAAAGCAGCAGCATCTTTCAATCACAACTATGCATCCTTCAGTCAGAAACAGTTGGAGGGTGTATTTAACTAACAGACCTGACACAAGGTTAACTAATCCAATATTTCCATTCAAATGATTTGGAGAAATAGCTCGAGTAATGTCCACATGCCATCTCGTGCTCAGAGCTGATGCTATTATCTAGCCTGTATTGCTTCTCTCTTCACTGAATTTCCAAGGAACGCACACGAAGTTTTCCAGCAGATCACAAAAACTTTCAAAGGAATTACTTCCTTATTTTATCTAAAAGAATAAGTATGCCTATTCAGTGGTTCTCTTTGATCATCTGAGTCCCTATCACAACACGTCTTGCTGTTTATTTTATTCACTCTCCGTACAGTGCATGTGAACAAGCACTTGTAAATTCTTTTCAAACTATTATGTTAACTACTAAGCCAAGAGAAATCCTTTCATCATTTACGGATTTTTCTTTTTTGTTATTGGTCTCTTCAGCTGTATACTTAAGAAAACATCTTAAAAAGACACAAAAATCTGAAAATTGTGAAAAATGAAAAATGCTACTGCTATGCTGGAGAAAGCTTTCTCTTTTCTTAAGAATAGAGAGGCCAGACAACACAGAGTTAAGCTCACTGCATTTTCTCATTGAGACACAAGATTTGGAACAAGATTTGTTTTCAAACGGGAATAAATTATGAAAATTCATTTTCATTTACCACTCCAAATCCTATTCTTGAGAAGCCCAGTATCTGAATAAAGAGGATTTCTTCAGATTCAGATTCCCATGCACTTGCAGAGGTCCATGGGGAAGCTTGCACAACTTCTCTTACTGTATACTTTCTGAAGCCCAGTGGTTTAGACTTTCACAGGAGATTTGTTCATAAATGTTTAATCATTAAGATATTAAGATATTTCTAAATATAATAAAAGCTGCAAGTTCAAACAATCAGAGTTAAACCATGCTCCTGCAGATCTTCTGCATGTCAGTAATTTTTTACTTATGGGAAATCCTAAGTACAATAATTAACTTTTCAATTAAAAATCATTTCAAAAAAATTGTGTATAAATTCTGAAACAGTTTATTCTGAAAGACTTGCCTTGATTTTTTTTTAATTTTAGTATTTCTATTTCTGGAAAAGGAATGGAGATGAGAATAGAAAATGTTTTCCGAATTCAACACACATTCAGTGACAAACCTCAAGCTTTCTTTTCTTTAAATAAGTTACTCCTCAAAACATTTTTTCAGCATTAATGCCAAAGGTCAGTGCTTCCACTAATGCTGCAGTCTACAAAGTTGCTATTCACAAAGTCCAACAGTTACAAGACATGCTGCTACAGAGACGACACTGCAAGTTGGTAGATAAAGCACTGCTTACAGATGTCATATCAACTATTGGATCCAAAGCAATCAGAACTCAAGACTAATAAGATGTCTGCAAGATAAAAAAAAAAATCTTCTTTTTTTTCATCCATACAATTGTTTTATCTACGTTAAGGTAAGAGTTGAAAAAAAATGATCTGATCAAATCAATTGTTTATTTGATATATATATTTTTTAACATACAATCAGCAGCACCGACTACTTTCTTCAAAGATGCATTGTTGGAGTTCTCCAGCAGTATGTGAGTACTCCTGTGGGTCTCTATATGCCGCTACTTATCAGGTGAAGACTTAATTGGAGAATATTAGTTCAACCATAAAACCTGAATAAAGGCAGCACAAACCTGCTCTGCTGCAAGCACTGGAAGAGACAGATTTGAAACTTAAAGATGTCAAGAGTGCTGTGCTGATTTCTACCAGATAGCACCAACTCTGACTTAGCATTTCCAGTGAGCAGAGCCTTCTTCCAAGACAAGCCGGAAATTCCTATTACTTCATTTGAGGTGCAAACACTGACATCCAGTTTGAAGCATTCTATGGTTCACAGAGCTAATACTGGTTTTATTTGTACTGGTTACTCCAGACTATTCTTCAGTATCATCCTTCAGCTGTATTCAGTTATCAAGCATTCCTTTATTAGCACTCACAATGATGACAATGACATTTAAAAACAATAGTAGAAACCTCCCTTACCTACGAAGCAAGGTCCATTCAGCAAGCAAAGGAATATCCATCCCTTCTTTCTCAAAAGATGCAGTAGATTTTTGAAGCAATTTTTCACAGCTATTGGCTTAACACAGTTCTACACTTGATGAAGTGTGTAAACGACACTGAGCAGGTGTGACTAACAGCCTCAGCAGAGGTTGCTTCAGTTCTCTCTGATCCTAGATGTGCAAACTTTGACCTACTGCAGTGAGGTAGTGAAACTGAGGCCAGAATTGCAGAAAAACATTTGCATTTCATCCAAAAAATGATTTTTATGGAACACCATAACCTGCTGAGGCTCCCACCTAGAGCAAGTCAGATAAAGGTCACGCCTGGAAAAACCATCCTCCCAGGTTATTCTGGGCTGCCTTATCTTACAAATGCTTCAGAATCTCTAACGGAGAAGCACTTCTATTGATTCAGAGGATTAATTTGAACTCAAACATCCCTCTAAACTGCTGTCCTCACCTCCAAAACCCTGTACATCTCAAGAAGTTAATCTTCCCCATGAAAGCATTAACATTTGAATGACTGTTTATTATCATTATTATTACTATTATTATTATTACACCCTGCAATGATTCTCCAGTGGTCTCTCTGATACAGAATTTTATATGAGAAGAATATTTTTCTAGGGGAACCAATCACTGATGTCTAAACAGGATGTTAAATGCCTTAATATGATTGGCTCCGTTGCTTTTTATCATACGACCAGAATTTCCAGACTGTTACAATTTAACTGCTTTTATTGTTTTGTAAATCCAAGTATGCACTGATGTTATGTAAATGCTGATAGAATTGATATCTTTTGAGAAACAGAGCCTCCTTCCATGAGGAGTCTGAAACTATATTAGCTTCCTGTGCTATTTAAGCAATGAATTGAAAGTGCATCTTTTGTCACTTTCTGGCAGTATAATTTCAGCCAGTGTAACTGAGACTAAAGAGAAAAGACATAAACCAGGTAGTTGTTCTCATATCCAAAAGGTAAGTCTGTGCTACGAGATCCCCAGCTTCATTACGTGCTTTCACTGAAAGAAAAAACATGAACCCCTGCTCTAGATAAGCTCAGCATGAACTGATAAAATTCCAAACAGTTGGGCTGAAATACACAGGAAGTAGAGTTCAGTGCCACACAGATCTGCAGCATAGGAAGTTCCGCACAAACGTGCGCAAGAACTTCTTTACAGTGAGGTGACGGAGCACTGGAACAGGCTGCCCAGGGAGGTGGTGGAGTCTCCTTCTCTGGAGATGTTCAAGGCCTGCCTGGATGCCGACCTGTGCGACCTGCTGTAGGGAACCTGCTTTGGCAGGGGGGTTGGACTCGATGATCTCTGGAGGTCCCTTCCAACCCCTACAATTCTGTGATTCTGGGATGAGGTTTATATAAAAATTTATATGAGGAAGTAGCCTCTACGTCACAGCAATGATAATAGCAACAGTGCCACACAGAAGCACTAGCAATTAATTGAGAACACCTCCTATTAAACAGCATCATCATTATGCATTTTAAAGTAACAAGAGAGCCAGAAGAGGGGGAAAAATTCTCAGTAGTCATATGATCACGCTATTACCCTATTGAAGCATCCACAACCACCTAATATTAAATATTCATACGAAAAAAAAATCTGCTTTAATAGAGACTGAGAGAGCACTCATCACAGACTTCATGCCTTTTATTCACTTTCTGAAAGAATTCCTTTTCTCCCTTCCTGAAATTCACTTGATAAACTCTTTCTGTTAATTAATAAAGGTATTTTGCATGATAAAACTCCTGTAACTCCTATCTCACAGAAACTACAGTTAGGGAAATCAACTGAAGGTGAAGCATGGAGTGTCCTCAGAAAACCACTGAACAATATCACTGAACAAATAACTAAAGATAATATTCATGCTCATTCCTGTGATGAATCCTCTAAAGCGCATGGAGAAAAAATCCAAATTACTCTGAAGTTTACATTAATTAATAATTTCTTTTAAAAGGAAAAGAAAACAAACTCTGAAAAACATAAAGACATAAAAATAACATGAAAATAAACTATGCTTCTAGGAAACAGTATTTCTTATTGCAGACATACACCTTGTAATTCATATTGTGGCCTCTTGCAACATAGCACAGTTAAAATATAATCAAATAAACAATTCATATAAGTTACATATGCTTGTATCAGCTCAGCCCACTTTCCTATCCATCTTTTGTGGCTTTAGAACCATTTTCAGTAAAAAGGATTCAGTTTTCAGTAGAGTCACCTATTCAAAACTGTGAATTTTCCATCAAGAAGGTATTCTAGTATGCACTGTAATCTCTAATTCAGGTTTCACAGGACAGCTTTTTTGTTTATTTGTTTTTAACAAAAAGAGCAGCGGAACTCCTTTTGGGGATTTTTCAAGTGCGGCATCATATAATAGAAAGATGATCATTTTGCAGTGGCATAAACATATATTTATTTTTCCTCAAAGGCTTCATTCTCACAACAATTATACTTTAACAGATCAAACAGAATTCATTAAATAAAACAACTGTTTAGATATTGGATAAGAAACTGTTTCTCTTTACTTAGACACAAGATCACACTTTCAAAACCCAGTGCAAACATCTTCAGATGCAGTTCATATAATATTAAAGGAATGGGTGTACACTTTTGTTTCACCACCAAAACACACATTTTACTAATAGCCAACGCTGCAGGAGAGAACACACTTCAAATTCACACCAGTTAGTCTAAATCTCATGGCTCTGACTGAGAGGAAAATGGATAGGATCAAAGTGTGTTGTAAAATGTTTCTAAGTGTAATCTGTATCATAACT